TCAGTGTGCTAATATGTAAAATAACGAAAGTATTATAATTAATCATCAGAGCCCTGTTACATCAATAAACAGGATTCTGTTGTATTAAGGTCATATACCACTTGCGTCAATAAGCCCAATTGTATAAAATGAATAATCCAGATGTTATTATTTTGTTGATGAGCTGAGGCAGTTATCTGGATAGACTGGAACAGTCCTCCATAAGGAGCAGCTGAAAGGGAGATTTAATGGAGTTTGCTCACCACTGTTAGTATTTAATACATTCTGAAGGGATCTGTTCCAATGAATATTTATCCCTCGATCAACATCACCAAATACAATACCAAGTTGTGTGTTTGAATTGGTGTTTGTGCGAGTCAGCTGCTTCTCAGATTTTATGGTTAATCGAGTACACCGCAGAAGTAATTAATTCGATGTGAAGTTGTGTAACATGAACTTGGGACTGGTTGGGAGTAGGTATTTAAATGTAAGTGCTTTATTTATTTTTTTCTAAAGTACTTTTACATTGTATAACCAGTGCAGTGTATGTTATCCATTGACTTTGCAGTGAAGTTTCCTTGGCATCTCATTAAAACAAATGCTCATTTCCAGGGTAAACTTACTGCTGGGTGCATTAATGGAAACCATCTATCTCGGGGCTGTCCACCTCACCTATCTCTTTTGCTTTTATCTCAGTGGAAGTGGTGGATACAGGTTCAGTTACATCATTTAAGGGACAGATGGACATGAATAGAGAAGGTTTGGAGGGATATGGGCCAAATCCAGGCAGATGGGACAGGTTCAGTTTGGGAAACTTGGTCGGCACGGACAAGTTGGACCGAAGGGTCTGTTTCTGTGCTGTATGATTCTGACTAAGTGCCTCTGCGACAAAATGGAATGGAAGTTGATGGATATAACACTTGGGGCCCTCTTGTGGCACAGTGGTAGTGTCCCTACTGGGACGCCACCAGGTTCAAGTCTCACCGGCTCCAGAGGTGTGTAATAACACTTCTGGGATAGTAAGAAATGCAGATGCTGGAGTCAGAGATAACACAGTGTGGAGCTGGAGGAACACAGCAGGCCAGGCAGCATCAGAGGAGTAGGAAAGTTGATGTTTCGGGTTAGGACTCTTCTTCAGGAATTTCAGAAATGAAGGAGGATCCCTACCCGAAAAGTCAACTTTCCTGCTCCTCTGATGCTGCCTGGCCTGCTCTAATAACATTTCTGAATTGGTTGATTAAAACAAAATAGGTTAACTAAAAAAAAATTACAAGAGATGTTCTGGGGCCCTCTTGTGGCACAGTGGTAGCATTCCTACCTTGGACCAGGAGGTCCGGCTTCAAATCCCATCATCTCCAGAGGTGTGTAATAACATCTCTGGAAAGAGTTAATTAGAAAAATAGGTCTAAAAGAAATTATAAGAGTGTTTCTGATGCCCTCCTGCAGCACAGTGGTAGCATCCCTACCGCTGGATTGGGAGGCCCAGGTTCAAGTCTCACTTGCTCCAGAGGTTTGTAATAACATTTCTGAACAAGTTGATTTTAAAAAAAAAGCTTAACTACAAAGACTATTTTAGACTTTCTCAAGTCCCCTAGTGGTGCAGTGGTAGTGTCCCTACCATGGACCGGGAGGCCCAGCTTCAAGTCCCACTTGCTCCAGAAGTGTGTAACAACACCTCTGAACGGGTTGATTGGAAAAATTAAAATTAAGCTTTGTTGTCACATGTACTGAAGGACAGAGATACAGGAGTAGTGAAAAATGCACAAAAGTAGCTGCAAGGTATGTAGGTACAAATAGGTTAAAGGAAAAAAATTTAAAAACTAAGACTAGGCTCCACATAGCACTAGACTGAACACAGTTAAAACACTCAGACAAATGTGGTATTTGGCAGTCAAACAGCAGGGAAACAGCAGTAAAGACTGTACAACTCAACAGCGATATACATCAGAACTGGCAAGACAATTTAAGTAAAACACAAACACCCGTGTGATCATAAGCAGCGTTCTTTGTTCAGTGGCCAGGAGCAGCTTTTATTGCCTGCAGGCCTGACATTGCTGTATTAGACATGGGTTTGTGGTCTGAGACGTGATCCTTGTTCACGTTCAGGAGGTCTCAGTGCCCTTGGGACGAGGCCCAAGAGGATCTGGAGCTACACACCAACATCCAAGTGACGTTTCTTAAAGATCAGCCTCGATGTCCTGGCTCACACGCAAAGAAAGGCCATTTCAGACACTCTGCCGGCAAGTGAAGTCATCTTTCCTTCCTTCATGCACTCATGTACAGGTCAAGAAGGCACAACAACGCTTTTTCTTCCTCAGGAGGCACAGGAAATTTGGCATGTCCATAAGGTTCCTCACCAACGTTTGCAGATGCACCATAGGAAGCACTCTCTCTGGGTGCATCACGGCCTGGTATGGCAACTGCTCTGTCCAGGACCAGACGAAACTGCAGAAAGTTGTGTGCGCAGCCCAGCCCATCACAAAAGCCAACCTCCCTTCCATGGACTCCATCTACACTTCTCGTTTGCCACAGAAAGGCGCCAACATCAAAGACCCCTCCCACCCGGTAATACTCCCTTCCAACCTCTTCCATCAGGCAGAAGATACAGAAGCTCAAACACATGTATCAATAGGTTCAAGAACTGTTTCTTCCCCGATGTTATTAGACTGCTGAATGGACCTTGCTTTCTGGACCTCCTGCATGCCTCACAAAACACCTTATGATCTGTACGTCCTTGTTTGCTATAATCTGGCTGTACTGCTCACTACACAAAACTTTTCACTGTACATAGGTACATGTGACAACAATAAATGAAATCACATACATTAGAATTGGTTAAATTCAATGAGTGATAGCTGAATAGTTTGCAGCAATACCAATATAAATATCAAAACTAATACCAGCAAAGTGCAAAATCAACTACATCCAAACCACTCACCCGAACCTCTTCAGTAAGCAACCTCCAATCTGTCTGAGGGGATCGATTCCTTGCTGCCACTTGCTCTCCAACCCCACGATCTAAGTGGCCATTATTTCTGTATGAGCCTCAATGTTAAATGTTGCCTGGTCACTCGATAATGTCCTCACCTCATTCTGATTCCACATGGTCAAAGATGAGGGTTCTGAATGGTTCCTGACTGATTGACTGCCCTCTCTCAAACCCATGGCCATCACAGCCAACAATACCATCTCTTCAGGCTTCTCAGGATAAGATCAGCTGGAGCTCCCGAACATGAAGGAAGATGACGTCTCAGACCAAAAACCCGTGTCCAATACAGCAATGTCAGGCCTGCAGGAAATAAAAGCTGCTCCTAGCCACTGAACAAAGGACACTGCTTATGATCACACGGGTGTTTGTGTCTTACTTAAATTGTCTTGCCAGTTCTAATGAGATCAATCTGCACTGGAGAAGCAATCTGTAGATTCAAGAAACTGGGGATGGTCTCTACGCAATAAAGATGAAGGAGGAGAGATCTTATAGAGGGGTGCAAGCGGTTTAGATAAGGTAGACAAAAGAAAAGCTATTCCCAATAGTTGTACAGTTATACAGTCTTACAGCACAGAAGCAGGCCCTTCCATCCAACTCGTCCACACCGACCAAGTTTCCCAAACTAAACTAGTCCCAATTTCCTGTGTTTGGCCCATATCCCTCTAACCCTTTCCTATTCATAGACCTGTCCAAATGTCTTTTAAATGTTGTAACTGTATCTGCATCTACCACCTTCCTCTGGCAGCTCACTCCACATACGAACCACCCTCTGTGTGAAAACGTTGCTCCTCAGATCCCTTTTAAATCTTTCTCTTCTCACCTTAAAAATATACCCTTTAGTTTTGACTTCCCCCATACTAGGGAAAAGGCTTTTGCTATTCACCTTATCTGTGCCCCTCACGATTTTATAAATCTCTATAATGTCACCCTCAACCTCTTGCTCCAGTGAAAAACGACCTAGCCTTTTCAGTCTATCCTTATAACTCATACCCTCCAGGCCTGGCAACATCCTGGTAATTTTTTTTCTGAACCCTCTCCAGCTTAATAACATCTTTCCAAAGCATAGTGACCAGAACTGGACACAGTACTCCAGAAGAGGCCTCATTAATGTCCTGTACACAATGTTCCAATACATGGTTGAGGGTACAAGGACAAGGGGCCACAATCTAAGGTTCAGTGCAAGATATACAGAGGGATGTGAGGAAGCACTTTCTTGATGGAACTTTCCATCTGCACAGCTGGTGAAAGCAGAGATGATGAATGGTTTCAAAAAGAAACTGGATGGCACTTGAAGGAAATAGACTTGCAATTCAAGAGGATAGAGAGAGGGGCGACGCAACTGTCCTGTTTCATCCACAGAGAGCCAGCATGGATTTAAGGGGCTGAATGGCCATGATTACTCAATGACCATTTTGATTGATTTGGCTCCACCCTTGCAAAACAGCCACGTTGCACATACCAGGATCCTACAATCAACAATCTGAACTTCAGAGATTAGTAGAATGTGACAAGGGTGGTACAGTGGTTAGCACTGCTGCTTCACAGCGTCAGGCACCTAGGTTCGATTCCAGCCTGAGGTGACCATCTGTGTGGAGTTTGCACATTCTCCCCGTGTCTGCGTGTGTTTCCTCTGGGTGCTCCGGTTTCCTCCCACAGTCCAAAGATGTGTAGGTTAGGTGGATTGGCCATGCTAAATTGCCCTTTAGGATGTAGGTGAGGTGGATTAACTATGGTAAATGTGGGGTTACAGGAATAGAGTAGGATTCTCTTCAGAGGGTGGGTGCAGGCACAATGGGCAGAATGGCCTCTATCTACACTGTAAGGATTCTATAAACTATCCAGAAGATCCAGCTGGTTGGACACAGATTTAGAAGGTTTGGCCAGTGTGTCAGCAGGAGTTATTCTATTTGAAGATCCTTTAAAGCCTTTACAAATCCATTCTGTTATCATTCAATCTTGGACTTTAACTGGCCTTAAGGCAACATTATTACAAGAACTAAATACGACAGGAACCCTGTGGCTCAGTATTTACCTCGGAAAGCCCGGACAAAATTTGTCCCAAGGAACACCAGATTCTGCAGTCCAGGGTTGTATTGTTCCATAATGCTCTGTAACCAAACACCAAAAGGTTAAACAGCCAAACATCATAAGCACTGAATTTCAATGGAGGGATGGTAATGCAGGGGCAATGACACTGGACCTGGTAATCCAGGGGCTTGGGTCCAAATCCCACCACATGGGGCTACTGTCATTTTAATTCAATTAAAGGAAAAATCTGGAATTGAAAGCCATCACCATCAGACAAACATCATTGATTATTGTAAAAACCCATCACAACCCATTACCTTTCGAGACGGAAATCTGCCATCCTTACCAGATCTGGCCTGTATGTGATTCCCAAACCACAACAATGCCTTCCAAAATAGTCCTAGCAAGGCACTCAATTTAAGGGCAATTAGGGATGGGTAGGAAATGCTGGGCTTGTTAACAGCACCACATCCCATTAAACAAAAGAAAATAAAAGCTGGTACAAAGCTTGAGTTTTGCTGAAAACAAAAGACATATTTTATCAAACTTATAGGACAATTGGCAGGAAAAATCAATGTAAAGTAGAACACCATATTTGCACTGTCTGAGAAGGCCACACTGATTGGCTGGCAAGTGGAATCTGATTGGTAGAGGTGTTGCTGTGGATACCTTGGTGTTCTTGCAAGTTGTCCTGATGAGAGCAATATGAAAAGCTTTAACAAGATCTGTGTCATTTTCTAAAAATGTTCAAGAAAACAAAGTACATCTTGCTTGGATCTCGGTCAAACAAATTGTGAGTATTTTATTCAATCCAAGGAAAGAAAATAGGGTTGCTCACGTAATAAGATAAATTGAAAACTGTTCTTGGCTCTTCGTGAATGCCTTAACGTTTAAAAATCAGAATTTGTGTACACAAATATTTTACATGTATAACTGCAACACTTTTTTCCTGCAGAGAGGTTTAAGCAATTAAGCTTTTTTTTTGAGAGTGCAATGGTTGTTACATTGGCAGCAACATTGAAGGAAAAAAAGGCTGACCTAATGGAGGTCTTTAAAATTATGAAAAGTTTTTGCTACAAACTGCACGTTTCCTTTTGTAGTAAATGGTGTACAAAAGGGCCCCAGAGCAACCTTGTTCCGATGTCAAAGAGCTACACATCACTGGGTATAAATAGTAAAAAGTGGGTGGAGAAACGCCAGAAAAAGATTGCCAGACTTCAACAATCTGGACTGGAAGACTCATGTGAGCACATGAAGATGATAGATTAGCCTTTGCTTAATGTAACTATAAGATCAGAGTCTGTTAATATTTATGATTATCGTGTATAGCAGTATTTAGTGTTAATGCATAATAAACAGTGTTACTTTGAAGTCTACACCTGAAGATAATTCTTGACTTTGGCTTCACCTCAACCAGTCTGTCTTTAACCCAAACTCACAGCGAGGTACACAATAAAAGGGTGAAGTGTAGATCTAGGAGTTAGTCACCATGAAATGCAATAGGGAATTCAAAACAAAATGATTTATCCAAATAGTGATGGGAATGAGGAACTCACTACCACAGGGAGAAGTTGAAGTGAGTAGTGTAGATGCATTTAAGGGGAAACTAGACAAACACAAGGTGGAGAAGTGAACAGGGAGAAGTGAGGATGGATTCAGAGTAGGAAAGATGGGTAGAAGCTTGAATAGAGCATAAATACCAGTATGGACTGGTTGGGCCGATTGGCCTGCTTCTGTGGTCCTGTGTAATCCTATGTATTATTGTCCCTCCTTTGTTGTTGATGGGTCAAATTCCTGGAACTCCCTATCTAAGCGGATGGTGGGTGCACCTTTACAACATGGACCACAGTGGGTCAAGAAGATGCCTGACCATGATATTCCCAAAGGAAACCAGGATCAAGCAATTGCCTCTTGTCCACATCCTGTGAATGAATTTTTAAAAAGCCATGGGATGGGATGGTCTGCTCTAAGACCTAGCGTCTGAACTTCCCACAAGGAATCCCAAGTGGCAAAAAGAGCCGAGGTTTGATTTTCTTTTCTCTGGTCTATGATTGCTAAGAGAAAAGCTTCCATCTGCATTACCTCACCCACAGCAATTAGGCAGCACAGAGCAGGAGACAGAACAGACTGCAGATGCTGGAAGCCAGATTCAACAAATGTGGAGCAGAACTGGTCAGACAACATCAGAGGAGTAGGAAAGTTAATGCTTTGGGCCAAAAGCACAGAGCAAGAATCAGATTTGGGACGTTCCTGCACTCATTGACTTATCTTGGATGTTCAGCAGCTGGTGGAAGTTGAGGCCTAACCATTTTATCTAAGCTGGCAGCCTGAAACGGCGCAGTGAGCTAAGACTATTTCCCATAGTCTATCCAGGTTCAGAGTTAATAAATAATGGAGCAGTAAACCAATAGTTTTAAGATGAACAATTACCTGATTAATAGAACTCGATATCTTCTGCTCTATTTTCTTTCACCACTACCCCCACCTCACAGTAAAAGAAAGACTACTTTATCATATTTGAATGCGCCTCGGAAAGAAAGACGACCAGCAAATGTACACAAAATATCCTCAAATGTTTTACTGGGGTTGGGTTTCAATATGTAGAGGTAGAATGTTAGACTAAAGGCAGGAGCAGCTATATAAAATCGGAACATCATGTGATTGTCAGTGACTGCCTTCCCTCGAAACGATACAATCTGGATTCTGAAACAATAATAATTGCTGTCCCACTCATTCTTAAAGTGCACCCTGCCTGCAGGTTGCATTGTGATAATATCATCATACTCGTGATCCAGGAACGCAAATTAATCCTCAATTGACATGGGTTCAAATCCCACCACAGCACCCCCTGAAATTTAACTACAATTTTATAAAATCCTGAATTCAAAAGGTTGTCTCAATGATGAGTGGCCCTGAAACTATCATTCTTTTGTTCCATCTGGTTCACGAGTGGCCTTTCATTCTTACTCAGTCTGGTGACTCCAGACCCAAAACAATGTGGGTTTATTCCTAACTGCCCTTTGAAGCAAATTCTGATGAAGAGTCATCTAGAATCAAAACGTTCACTTGCTCTCTCTCCATGGATACTGCCTGGCCTGCTGTGAACGCCAGCACTTTTAGTTTTCAGTACAAATTCCAGCGTCTGCAGTAATTTGCTCCTACTTTGAAGCAAGCCATTCAGTTCAAGGGCAATTAAGGATGAACAAGTTCTGTTGTTGCCAGCGATGCCCACATCCCATGAAAGAATGAAGAATATATATGGCAGCGTGGAAAAGATTCCAGAGAGATATCAGTCAGATGGGTCGAATGACCTGTTCTTGTGCTGTAAATTACATATAATTCTTAACATCAGCTGGTACCAAAGAGCCCACCACATATTTTATTGGGCAAATGTTGACACATTAATTGTTACCCTTGCCCAGTAATCAAACCTCTTAAATGAGAGGCAGAAAGAGAAATAAACAGAGACAAATGAACTGGAAAATGAAAGTGTGAATAAAACAGTAAGCAAGAACATTTTAGCGGTTAAAAAAAAACACTAAGAACTTGTTTGACCGTGAATCCATAGTTTTAACTGCTCCATTTCTGGGCCACAGTGGATGAGTGGCATTGAAACATCATTCACAACACTGAAGGGTTCCTTACGATGTGAAGTACCAGCCCTAACTGTCTACAGTGGTTGTAATTCTTCCAGCAACTTAGCGACAAATTGTAACTCACACCATCTCTCTCCCTCACCACCCACTGCAGATTGAACAACCTTTCGATTTCAGGAAGTCTTCTACCATCCATTCACTTTCCCAGAAAAATTCTAGGCCCCATGACTTTCACATTCCTTCAGGTTGTATAACAACAACTTGCATTTACAGAGTGCCTTGAATGTGGTTTAACTGTCAGTGGCAGGCACTGCATAGCAGCAACTACCAGACAAAGTCGAACCAAGGTTGTCAACTTCAAGAAAAAGATGCTGCTGCCGCCGCCTACCCCGCTCTGCCCATCACCGACGCGAACGCAACTCCGCCCACCGCCAACGCTGGCGCAACACCACCCACCGCTTACGCCGACGCAACTCCGCCCGCCGCTGACGCCGACGTCGCTCTGCCCAGCGCTGACGCCGACGTCGCTCCACCCACCGCCTCCACAGCCAGCAGCTCCAGAGGAGACAGCAGCACCCAGCCCTGCCGAGTCTTCACCATCCCCCCAGACCTACCCCTTACTGAGGACGAACAGTCAGTCCTCAGTAAAGGGCTCACCTTTGTCCCCCTCCACCCACAGATCAACGAATACCGGTCACGTTTCGACATAGAGCAGTTTTTCCGCCGCCTCCGCCTCCGCGCTTACTTCTTCAACCATGAGCCTAACCCTCCCTCTACTGACCCCTTCTCCCGCTTCCAACACACTCCCTCCTCCTGGACACCACCCCAAGGCCTCCTACCCTCCCTCGACCTCTTCATCTCCAACTGCCGTCGAGACATCAATCGCCTCAACCTCTCCACCCCTCTCACCCACTCCAACCTCTACCCCGCAGAACGTGCAGCCCTCCGCTCCCTCCGCTCCAATCCCAACCTCACCATAAAACCCGCGGACAAGGGAGGTGCAGTTGTAGTATGGCGCACTGACCTCTACATCGCCGAGGCCAGACGCCAACTCTCCGACACCTCCTCCTACCGCCCCCTTGATCATGACCCCACCCCTGAGCCCCAAACCATCATCTCCCAAACCATCCACAACTTTATCACCTCAGGTGACCTCCCGCTCATGGCCTCCAACCTCATCATTCCCCAACCCCGCACCGCCCGCTTCTATCTCCTTCCCAAAATCCACAAACCTGACTGCCCTGGTCGACCCGTTGTCTCCGCCTGCTCCTGCCCCACCGAACTTATCTCCAACTATCTCGACTCCATTTTCTCCCCCTTGGTCCAGGAACTCCCTACCTACGTCCGTGATACCACCCACGCCCTCCACCTTCTCCAGAACTTCCAATTCCCCGGTCCCCAACACCTCATCTTTACCATGGACGTCCAGTCCCTGTACACCTGCATTCCCCATACAGATGGCCTAAAGGCGCTCCGCTTCTTCCTGTCCCGCAGGCCCGACCAGTCCCCCTCCACTGACACCCTCATCCGCTTAGCCGAACTCGTCCTCACCCTCAACAACTTCTCTTTCAATTCTCCCACTTCCTACAGACAAAGGGGGTGACCATGGGTACCCGCATGGGACCAAGCTATGCCTGCCTCTTTGTAGGTTACGTGGAACAATCCCTCTTCCATACCTACACTGGCCCTAAACACCACCTCTTCCTCCGTTACATTGATGACTGTATCGGCGCCACCTCGTGCTCCCACGAGGAGCTCGAACAGTTCATCCACTTCACCAACACCTTCCACCCCAACCTTAAGTTCACCTGGACTATCTCTAACACTTCTCTCTCCTTCCTGGACCTCTCTGTCTCCATCTCGGGCAACCACCTAGAAACCGATATCCATTTCAAGCCCACCGACTCCCACAGCTACCTAGAATACACCTCCTCCCACCCACCTTCCTGCAAAAATGCCATCCCCTATTCCCAATTCCTTCGCCTCCACCACATCTGCTCCCAGGATGAGGCATTCCACTCCCGTACATCTCAGATAACCTCATTTTTCAAGGACCGCAACTTCCCCCCCTCAGTGGTCGAGAACGCCCTCAACCGTGTCTCCCACATTTCCCGCAACTCATCCCTCACACCCCGTCCCCGCAATAACAACCAAAAAAGTATCCCCCTCGTCCTCACGTACCACCCCACCAACCTCCGGATCCAACGCATAATCCTCCAACACTTCCACCATCTGCAATCCGACCCCACCACCAAAGACATCTTTCCCTCCCCACCCTTATCTGCTTTCCGGAGGGACCACTCTCTCCGTGACTCCCTTGTCCGCCCCACACTCCCCTCCAGCCCCACCACACCCGGCACTTTTCCCTACAACCGCAGGAAGTGCTACACCTGCCCCCATACCTCCTCCCTCACCCCCTTCCCAGGCCCCAAGAAGACTTTTCACATCAAGCAGATGTTACCTGCACATCTGCTAATGTGGTATACTGCATCCGCTGTACCCATTGTGGCCTCCTCTACATCGGGGAAACCAAGCGGAGGCTTGGGGATCGCTTTGCAGAACACCTACGCTCGGTTCGCAATAAACAACTGCACCTCCCAGTCACAAACCATTTCAACTCCCCCTCCCATTCCTCAGACGACATGTCCATCCTGGGCCTCCTGCAGTGCCACAACGATGCCACCCGAAGGTTGCAGGAACAGCAACTCATATTCTGCTTGGGAACCCTGCAGCCCAATGGTATCAATGCGGATTTCACAAGCTTCAAAATCTCCCCTCCCCCCACCACATCCCAAAACCAGCCCAGCTCATCCCTGCCTCCCTAACCTGTTCTTCCTCCCACCTATCCCCTCCTCCCACCTCAAGCCACACCCCCATCTCCTACCTACTAACCTCATCCTGCCCCCTTGACCTGTCCGTCCTCCCTGGACTGACCTATCCTCTCCCTAACTCCCCACCTACACTCACCTTTACTGGCCCCATCCCCGCCTCTTCGACCTGATTGTTTCCTCTCCACCTATCCTCTCCTCTATCCATCTTCTATCCGCCTCCCCCTCTCTCCCTATTTATTTCAGAACCCCCTTCCCCTCCCCCTTTTCTGATGAAGGGTCTAGGCCCGAAATGTCAGCCTCTCTGCTCCTATGATGCCTGCTGTGTTCATCCAGCTTTGCACCTTGTTGTCTCAGTTATTCCTGGTGTCCTGGCTAATACTTAGCATCAACCAATCTCAACAAAACCTCAATGCATTGCTGTCGATAGGAGATTGCTGTGGGCAAACTGTGTAAGACTTTACAACAGTGACCTTAAAAGCACTCCATCCGCTGCAGTGTACTTTGAGACCATGAGAAAAGGTGCTATGTGAATATGTCCCTTTTTAAATTTCACACCTTCACAATATTATAAAGGAGGTGTGAGGACAGGTGAAAGAGGCATAAGGTACAGAGTGTTGTGGGTGCTGGCAAGAAGGGAACAGCAATAAAATAGGTGATAAACACTGTGAGAACTTGGAGTGAAGGAACATATAATCTCTGCAGTGCAGAAAGAGGTCATTCAACCCATACTGGCCCCCCAAACCCTGCCATATAATGCTGCATTTCCCATGGCTAACCCACCTCGCCTACACACCCCTGGACACTATGGGTAATTTAGCACAGCCAATCCACCCTAAACTGCACATCTTTGTGACTGTGGGAGGAAACCCATACATACACAGGGAGAATATGCAAACTCTACACAGACAGTCACCCAGCCCAAAGGTGGGATTGAACCCAGGTCTCTAGTGCTGTGAGGCAGCAGTGCTAACCACTGTGCCACCCATAAGGAACAATCAAGAACCACAACTTATATATCTAGTTTGTGTCCACTCTATAACAAAAATTATAGCTTGTGTCCACTCTTTGTCAAAACAAAACTGCAGCTTATATTCACTCTATAACAAAAACTATAGCTTATGTCCACTCTTTGTCAAAACAAAACTACAGCTTATATCCACTCTACGTTTGGGAACAATATTATAAAGGAGACGTGGAGCCTCCAACGCCACCATTTGCACAGCAGCCCTCAAACACACAGCACTCACCTGGTAGGTGTTCAGTGTCGATCGATAGACTGGATTCGCGGAGTGAGACATGATGCAGATCAAAGCGAATATTTTACAACAGGGGAACGAGTGGGGAAAAAGTTTTTTTTTGGGGGGGGGGCGGTGTAAATGACCTGTTTTTGCTAGCTCTTTTCCCTGCAGTTGGTCACTTTCCCCTCGCTGGAGAGCTAAGAAGGCAGCTCCAGACCCAAATAAAAGGCGGACAGTCTGGTTAATTATTCATCGGGGGGGGGGGGGAGGAATTTCACTGGTTTTTGCAGGACTGACTCCTTCCAGCGTGGAGAGCTCGTCTTTAAACAGCAGGAAACTTGTGCGTCGAGAAAATTTAAACACCTGAGGTTTCCTGTTTGCTTCCCGGTTATCCACTTTATGCTTGGGATTTTTTTTTTTTAATTCTGTCTCTCTCTCCTGCAAAATTGCAAATACAGAAAAGGTTGCATTGCAATGAGCCACTTGGATTGAGTTGGCAGTTCCTAAGAAACCACCTCACCCGCTCAGATCCTCATTGCAAACCACTCCTGCTGAGCCACAAGGTGTGGAGGTAAGCACGAGGCCGTTCGGCCCATAGTGACTTCTCCATCAGTGGACCCAGCCAATGGCTGATCTGATGATCCTCAATACCACCTTGTGCAACCTTTCCCCGCAATCCACGATTCTATCACCTATTGCAGCCTCAGATACTCCCAACCCTCACTACCCACTGTGGTAAAGGATTCCACACATTCACCCTGGAAGAAATTCCTGCTCATGTCAGTTTTCAATAGATGACCCCTTAATCTGAGATTATGTCCTCTGGACCTTAGATAAACAAATCCAAATTACTCATGGTATTCCCGGCGTGGTATGACTAGTACCTTGTATAGAATCAGAAAATCCCTACAGTGTGGAAGCAGGCCATTCTGTCCATCAAGTCCACACGGACCTCCTAAGACTATCCCACCCAGACCCATCCCCCCTACCCTGTCCCTGTAACTCTGCATTTCCCATGATTAATCCACCTCGCCTGCACATCCCTGGACGCTATGGGACAATTTAGCATGGCAATCCACCCTAATCTGCACATCCCTGGACACTATGGGGTAATTTAGCATGGCCAATCCACCATAACCTGCATATCCCTGGACACTATGGGACAATTTAGCATGGCCAATCTGCACTAGCCTAACATTTTCAGGGACTTAAGGAAGAAAGGAGGACACGTACCTATCTACATCAATGGAGCTGATCTGGAGAAGGTCGAGAGCGTCAAATTCCTAGGAATGACGATAGCCAACAACCTGTCCTGGACCACCCATGTAGATGTGACAGTCAAGAAGGCCTCTTCTTCCTCAGGAGGCTTAGGAAATTCGGCATATCCATAAGGACCCTCACCAACTTTTACTGATGCACCATAGGAAGCATTCTACCTGATTGCATCACGGCCTGGTATAGCACCTGCTCTGCCCAGCGCCATAAGAAATTACAGAAAGTTGTGTACACAGTCCAGACCATCACGCAAGCCAACCTCCCATCCATGGACTCCATCTATACTTCTTGTTGCCACGGAAAGGCTGCCAACATCGTCAAAGACCTTCCCACCCCAGTAAAACTCTCTTTCAACCTCTTCCGTCAGGCAGAAGAAACAGAAGCTGTGTCGAACACATGTACCAACAGATTCAAGAACAGCTTCTTCCCCGCTGTTATTAGACTTCTGAATGCACCTCTCTAATTTCAAATCTAATACTGAGCTTGCTTTGTGCACCTCCTGTGTGTCTCCTTCTATCTAAGCACCCTACGATCTGTGTGACCTTATATGTTATGATCTGCCTGTACTGCTCACAAAACAAAATTTTTGCACTATACTTAGGTACGTGTGACAACAATAAATCAAATCAAATCAAAACCTTCCTATTTTTATACTGTGGATCCTTTGAAATAAAGCCCAGCATTCCATTTTCCTTCCCTATGACCCACTGAAAACTAGATACTAGATTTTTGTGATTTATGCGCAGAGACCATCCATCCCCCATGCCCACCCCACAGTCTTGTATCTTTTAGCCATCTTTCTCTATTTAAATAATATTCAGCTCTTCTATTCTTCCTGCCAAAGTGCATAAGCTCACACATTTTCCCACAACAAATTCCTTCTGCCAAGTTCTTGCTCACTCACATAACCTGTCTATATCCCTTTTCGTGTCATCCTCACTACTTGCTTTCCACCTATTTTTGTATCATCTGCAAACTTGGTGATAGTACATTCTCTTCCCTCTTCCAAGTCATGTATATATTGCAATATTATGACACTAGCACTGATCCCTGTGGAACTCCACTAGTTACAGGTTGCCATCCTGAAAATGCAGCCCTTATCCCAACTATCTCTGTCCTCTATCAGTTAGCCAATTCTCTATCCTTGCTAATATAATACTGAACATCATGGTCTCATCTTTTTAAGTTGTCTTATGTACAGTACCTTATTGAATGCCTTTTGGACATTCAAATATATTACATCTACAGGCTCCTCTTTATCTATCTTGCTATTACTCCTCAGAGTTTTGTTTTGTGTGCAGTACAGGTAGATCATAACATATAAAGACATACAGATCATCGGGGTATTTAGACAAAGCAAAGCATACAAAGTTACAACAGGATGTGCACAAAAACAAGATCAACATTGGATTTCAAATTTAAGAGGTCCATTCATCAGTCTAATAACAGCAGGGAAGAAGCTGTTCTTGAACCTGTTGGTACATGTGTTTGAAGTTCTGTATCTTCTGCCTGATGAAAGAGGTTGGAAGAGAGTATCATTAGGGTGGGAGAGGTCTTTGATAATGTTGGCAGCATTTCCACAGCAACGAGAAGTTGTAGATGGAGTCCGTGAATGGGAGGTTGGCTTGTGTGATGATCTGGTCTGTGTATACAACGTGCTGAGCAGAGCAGTTGCCATACCAGGCCGTGATGTACCTGGATAGAATGCTTCCTACGGTGCATAAAGGTTGGTGAGGGTCCTTATGGACAAGCCGAATTTCTAATAAATTTGCTATACTTGATTTCCCCTTCATGAAGCCATTAATGACTTTGCTTAATCATATTATGTATTTAGAGTCCTAGTGTCATACAGCAGGAAACAGATCCTTCGGTCCAACCAATCTAAGCCAACCATAATCCCAAATTAAACTAGTCCCAACTGCCTGCGTTTGGCCAATATCCCTCCAAACATTTCTTATTCATAAATTTATCTAAATACGTTTTAAACATTGCAAATGTACCCGCATCCACCACTTCCTCTGAAAGTTCATTCCACACACTAACCACTCTGTGTGTAAAACAACTGCCCCAATGTCTGTTTTAAATCTATCTCCTCTCACCTTAAAAAATGCCCCCTAGTCTTGAAATCCGCCAGCCTAGGGAAAAGATACCTGCCATTCACCTTGTCTATAATCCCTCATGATTTTATAAACCTCTATAAGGTCACCCTTCAATGTCCTATGCTCCAGTGAAAAAAGTTCCAGCCTATTTCTAAAATCTGTGCTGTTACATCGTTTATAATAGATACGACCATGTTCCTAATAACTTTTCCAGAGTTTTGGGAATCTTGGAAGATTACTTCCAGTGGATCCATTATCTGAGTCACTACTTCGTTTGATATCTAGGATGCAATTCATTAGGTCCAGGGCAATTATTAGTCCTTAGCCCCATTAGTTCCCTAGTGCTTTTTGTCTTGAGATAGTTATTGAACTTAATTACCCCACTCCCACCCGCTTTAGCCAGTTGATTATTTAGTACTTTTCAAGTACCATTAGTGTCCTACACCATAAAGGCTGATCCATGAATTTATTCAACTTTTCTGCCATTTCCTGATTCCCCATTATTATTTCCCCAGCCTTATTCTTCAGGGGCCTATGTTCACTTTGGTCTCTGTATTCCTTTTTATATATTTAAAGAAACTCTTACTGTCTTATTTTTGTTTCTATTACTTGCAAATTTATATTCATTGTTTATTTTGTCTTTTATTTGTTCACCATTTGCTGGTTTATCACATTTTCCCAATTCTCTGGTTTACCACTAATCTTTGTCATCTTTCATTTTGATGCTATCCTTAACTTCCTTGATTAATCATGTTTGGTTTATCATAGAGTCATAGAAATATACAGCCTAGAAAAGACTCTTCGGTCCAACTCGTCCATACCGACCAGGTATCCTAAATTAATCCAGTCCCATTTGCCAGCATTTGGCCCATATCCCTCTAAACCCTTCCTATTCATGTACCCATCCAGATGCCTTTTAAATATTGTAATTGTACCAGCCTCCACCACTTCCTCTGGCAGCTCATTTGAGACATGCACCACCTCCTGCGTGAAAAAGTTGCCCTTTAGGTCTCTTTTAAATCTTGCTCCTCTCACCTTAAACCTTTGTCGTCTTGCTTTGGACTCCCCTACCCTGGGGAAAAGACCTTGCCTATTTACCCTATCCACGCCCCTTGTGATTTTATCAAACTCTATAAGGTCACCCCTCAGCCTCCGACACTCCAGGGAAAATAGCCCCAGCCTATTCAGCCTCTCCCTATAGCTCAAACTCTCCAACCCTGGCAACATACTTGTAACATCATTTCTGCAACCTTTCAAGTTTAACATCTTTCCTAAGCAGGGAGACCAGAATTGAATTATTGAATTCCTAGAATCCTCCTTCTTCACTGGGATATATATTTGCTGTGAGTTTTGAACTATTTTCTTAAGCCTCTGCAATTGTTTCTCAGATAACAAGGTGTAGAGCTGGACGAACACAGCAGGCCAAGCAGCATCACAGGAGCAGGAAGGCTGACGTTTCGGGCCTAGACCCGAATGTGATTTTCTGATGAAGGCTCTAGGCCTGAAGCGTCAGCCTTCCTGCTCCTGTGATGCTGCTTGGCCTGCTGTGTTCGTCCAGCTCTACACCTTGTTATCTCAGATTCTCCAGCAACTGCAGTTCCTACTATCTCTGATGCAATTGTTTCTCAACTGTATATCTACAAAACCCCTTTCCCCGGCCACTTTAGCCAACTCTGCTCTCATTCCAATGTAATTATCCTTATTTAGGTTTCATACACACATTTCTGGTCCAAGTCCCTCACAATAAAACTCAGTGCTAAATTATATCATGTTACGGTCAGAATTCTCTGGGGATTTATTTCTTTTCCTTTCTGAGGTCATCTCATAAAATTTACCTCATTATACATTAACAGATCGAAAAGAAACTGAAACTAAAACGGAAATTGATGGAAATGCTCA